TAAACAGATCCTGAATCACAGCCTGATCCTTGAAAGCGAACTCCAAACTATGTGAAACAGTTTATCAGCAGCCTTCAACCACTGCTGATGATCACATAGTTTGGAACAACTCGGAGCTACTTGAACATTGAAACTGTATGCTACTGTATACTTTCACTTACACTCACACTACGTTTCAGAAGGAAATAATAGTACTAATAATAAGTAGGCTACATTTTCTTTTTTTCATTAGCTATACTTAATTGTCACTTTGTAGAAGAAGATTTAAAAAGCATATAATCAATTAATCATATAAAAAACAATTAATTTAAGTAAATTACTCTGCTGTATAGTATATTGTTAAACTGTAGTTTATTTTTGTCGTGACACTTTAAAGACTAAATTTAAATGATCCTTTTCAATAAAAAAAATCTGTAAGTTAATGTCACTCACATAAAAACATGAATATATGTCATTATTTTATAACAAACAAAATATCTGCCAAGCTCTATTATAAATGGCCATAGCTGTATACCTCCCCTTAACTCTAGCATAGTGAACCAAGCACTGGCTATCTATTACCAGCCCTTTGTAAGAATAAAAGGTAGAACATGACTTTAAATTAAAATCTTGATCCAGCACCGTGATGGGGTACACACACCTTGACATCAGGGAAGTAAGTCTTCAGTGTATTGGAGCTGGGATAGCGTGCGTAGAAGAACATGAGCTTGGCTTTCTTCAGATGGCAGGGAGACAAGCCCTCCTGGGTGTATACATGAGGCCAGTTAAGGAGATACATAGGACCTTTTACACACACACACACACACACACACACCAAACTCCGGTCATTCCTCCCTCCCCTTTGGCTGGACAAAAGGATATTTCGCCCCGAAGCTGTCAGTAGAAGTCTCGCGCCCCGCGCGTCCATCCCTCCACCTTCCGTTCACTCCCTCCGGTTCCCCCATCCCGTTCGCTCTCCCTGCTCGTCTTGCGCTCGTTACGCGGTGGCGCGGCAACGAGGGTCCAGGTGGCCGAGCAAGATCGGTTGGGGAAAGAGGGTGAAGACGGGGGGTGGAGACTGAGAACTCCAAGAAAAGGGTCGCCAGCTCAAATAGTCCTTAGCGGGACGTGCGGACGTGAGCTTAGGTTGTGTGCCAGGAGGTGAAGAAGAGCTGCTGCATGGAGAGTGGAGAAGGTGGGACGGACGGAGAGAGAGGAGGGAGGAGAAGGGGGCGCCGGGGAAGGAAGAAGAGGAGGAGGATGAGGACGGGTGGAAGGAGGAGGAGGGGTCCTTGGGTTGGGAGGCTGGAGGCAAGAGGGGAGGATGAGAAAGAGGAGGAGGGCGAGGTAGAGAAGGGTGATGAAGGGAGAGAGAGGGATTCAGGTGAGCAGAGAGAGGTGGGCCGAGGAGCGGGTGGGCTTTTCGTATGTCAGGTGACCTTTGAACAGCCAATGGCATGGCCAGATCTGATGCTTCAGTGCGGTGAGGCTGACCAGGAGGCACGGCACTCCCGTTGCTCATTTTTTGGAGCTGCTTCTCTCTTTCTCCATCCTGCCCTCCCGTCTTTTCCTCCTTACCTCTCGTTTTCTCCTCCCCTCTTCTCAACAGTCCCATCCACACTGCCCTCTCCCTCCCACCGTCGTTTCCTGCGTCAGACGGGAGGAAAGAGATGGCGGCAGGAGGAGAGGAAGGAGCGAAATCTGTCATCTCGGTGTAGAGGCGGAGAACTCGATCAATGACTCGTGCCACGGCGCTGCCCAACTCCAGCTTCAGCGCCTGGGCAAACTTCTGCCCTCCTTCCTCGCCCTCGTCTTCTATTCCTCCGTGCCAATCTCCCCTTACTAGTCCCCCACAATCCAACCACAACCCCGCTCCCTCCATCACGCCCTCCAGGTGCAAGCCTCCTTCTCTTCCTCTCTCCATCCTCCCTTCTCTGTCTTTTTGCCTCTCTTCTCTCCGTTTGTGGAAGTTGTCAAAAGGGGAAACAGAAAGAAGGGAGAAAGTCTCCTTTTCCATCTCTCCACCCTCAATGTCCTCTTCATCGTACATCCCTTCTGTAATGTCCACCTCCTCCATCATCCCCATATCTTTTTCTCCTCCATCTCCTCCTCCTCTACTGCTGTGCCTCCTTTTCTTCTCCTCCTCTGCCATGTGCTTTTCCCCAAAGGCCCTCCATACTTTCTCCTGCAGGGCCTGCAGTCTCTCTCTTGCCTCCTCCAGCTGTTCTTTAAGCTCCTCCCTCTCTCTTCTCTTACCCTCCCTCCCTCCTTCGCGCCTCCTGCCTCCCTCCTCTGCCTCTCCATCTCTTGGTCGGCTCTCCAGCTTCATCCTCTTCACCTTCAGGACGTCTTGACTCCACTCGGCCGCAAGAGTGGCGTCACTGTGTCTCTTCTTAACCCCCAACAAGCTGTCCTCCCCCTCCGTCGCTCCTTCCTCCCCTTCCATCCCTTGCTCCACCTGCCTATCCCTCTCTGCTCTGTCCTCCTCCAAATTTCTGTCTTCCAGTCCATGTCTGTGTGAGCTCAGGTTTGAGTTGAGTTGGCCACCAATCCTCCTGGGAGCTCCACCCGGCTGGAGGAGGTGGTGAATGAGGGGGAAGCCAGGGGGTCTAAAGGCAGGAGGAGGGCGACCTGCACTGGGCTGAGGATGAACTCCAGGGAGATCTGTAGAGCCGTGAGTGGGAGCAAAAGGGTGTATCTGGGGAGCAGATTCATCGAAAAGATCTGTGGGGGAATCCATCACTGGGGAGAGAGACAGGATAACTGTTGTTGCTGATGTTTTTGTTGTTTTGTATAAGAAGAGGGTGGAACAGAGCGAAAGTGGGATTTTGTCCACAAAAACATATATTTACCAATACATTGATTTAGCCGGTTCAAGGGTGCTAGATTTAAGTATACTTAAAGGCTAAGGTCACCAAAAATGACCCAAAGATTCACATTTATATCTATATTTCTAGGCGTACAGATAGGTTTGGTTTTATCTGCCCAGATGTTAACATACATGTGTCTATGAGGTTTTTTTTGTGGTACTCCAGGCTTAAATTTACATTTTAAAAAATGGCAGTGGCTCTTGATAATCCATAGAACTCGTTGTGAACATTTTTTACTGGAAGCACTCTACACAGAAGAAATAGTGCTCATGAAAGCTGTCGATAATGTGTTCTGGCAGCAGAAAAGGAAAAAGAGAGTTGCTGCTTTTGATTTCTTTCAATGGCATTTCAATTTCTATGCTGGGACAAAAAATTTAATTCCATTCACCTCCACTGTATTGGAGTATAAGAAAGAATTCTAAGAGTTGGATATCTCAAAATCGAAGGCAAAAAATCAAAACAAAAAGTATCTTCTGGATGCAACAAAAGAATGAGAAAATATGTCTCTTTTGAATTAAAGTGAACTGACCATTGAAGTGCACTTAAGGGCCATGTTATCCATCGCCAAATAATGTTTCTGCATGGCACTCGTGACTGCACCATGTTGTCAGATGAATAAATGCACTTCATGATGTGACTCACACAACTTCTGCTTACCTGGACAGCAAAACAGGTCACCGACCTATCACAGGACACAGCCACTTCCACTTGAATAGTAATAACAACGAGCTGCAATGTCCTTGCATAGAGCTGCAAAATATAAGCACATGTTGTAAGGTTAGTTAAGCACCAGAGAAGATGAATTCCATTTCAAAGGAGGAAACAACAGACTGCAGAACTGACCAAAAACCCAGGTCAAAAGACTGGGGGCCAGGCTACGTGCTGGTGGTGCAATAGGTTAACATCTGGCTCATGATCTCTGTCACGTATCATCCACATTATCTTTCCTGTTTCTCTCAACCGTGTGCTGTCGAAGAAAGCAGAAACATCCTAAAAATACAACTGACAAAATGGAGGGAGAGGACGTGGATTTTGGCACGGAGCAAAATAACAAAACGGTGGTAAAATATTACTGGGCTTTTTTTTTTGCTGGAAAATATGTTTCATAGCTGGAAAATATGGGTCATTTTTAAAAACCAAATTCTGCATGACCTCCCTACAATACCTGGAAACGCGTGTAAAACTGAGAAGAGCGAACGCTTGGCTCATGAATAACAGTACATCTCACTACATAATCAAGATCAAAAACACACATCCCCACGCTTTTTTTTTTTTCAGTTTATGACCTCCTCTCCCTCCCGACACCCCTTTCCCCCTTTTTCCTTCCTCTCTATTCCTCTCTCATCCTCTTTTCCTCTCCTCTCTCTGTTATCAGTTCAGGCAGCTTGTTAAGCACTGTTTGATCAGAGTGTTTACCGTCAAACACACACACACACACACACACACACAGTCACACAAAAGCGAAAGAGGCTTGAGAGAGGGCTAACAATGGTCAATGGTCCTTGGGGAGTGAAATGGAGTGAGTAGCATGTATGTATGTGTCTATGTGTGTGTGCATATGCGAGAGTGTGTGTGAACAGTCGTCCTACTTAGCTTTGATAACACCTCTAATCCACTTCAGATGGATACACTACCACTCGCCGAACAGAAAGACGGATGGATGATAAATGGACAGATGTAGGGACAGACTAAAAGAGGTGCAGTAGGTGGACAAAAATACAGAAAATGTGAAAATACACAGTATTTGAAATTTTAGGCCGACTGAGCTACTTGATAGTCAGTGGTCAGAATTAAAAGTGATTGCGTAGATAGATAGATAGATAGATAGATAGATAGATAGATAGATAGATAGATAGATAGATAGATAGACAGATAGACCAGTGCATAGGTCCCCTGGTGCAACATGAAGAGAATAATCCACCTATAAATAGCTAAATATCAATTATTCAAATGCCCTGGCTTCTCTACTATAATACAGCCCAGATGGCAAACCAGCCAATGCGCTTATATCAGGGACAGATTAGCTTTTCAAAGCCAGCGGAAAGCTGCACAAAATATGAACACTGAGCAATGAAAATGAAAGCTATTAACCACCAGATTAGACTTAAGAATGGTACTCTTGGACTGCTGTAGCTGTCACTGGCTAAACTGACAAGAGAGGAAACACACACTGAACAAAGCACACACAACTCACTGGTGTTAGATAATGTATGTCAGTAAAATCTATTTGGACATTTTAATCTGAATGTGTCAATATCATTTGCTTACATTACCTTAAAAAACTAAATCACACAGGCCAACAGTGCACCTGTCTGTCTCAAATATTTGGCTTACAGGCCTATTTGCATACAAACAGTTGCCATTTATATTTCTGTGTGTTCATCTAAAATACTATACAGTATTTCCTTCCTTTTAATTAAGAAGCAACATTACTTGGATCAATTATTTGTTTTTATCATACCTACACAGGTTATCTATGTATAGTTTTATTTGAAATAGTTTTTTTTTTAAACTTTTCCTATCTGCTGTTTCATTTCCATATCTCCGCCGGTAGAAATAACGTCACTTTGAATAATTGATATCATGTTTGAAGCCTCCGCGTGGAAACATCTGCCGGTTCTGCCACGCGAGAGGAATCCGCTTTGCTCCGTTCTGACGCACGAGCTGTCAGTCAGTTTGCGTGTTGTATGCGCGCGCCCGCGGTGCGTCCTGTGACTAATTGGCAGCGGTGGACTAATGTCGCAGTATGAAAGCACAAATAAACACACAGAGAGAGGCCAGCAGAGCAGACACTGACCCGCGCAAAGCTCATTAAACGCGGAGGACATTTCAAACATTATGCAGCTGTGTTAGAAGTTTAAACATGAACTCACTCTCAGTCACAGAGAAGAGCTCCAGCGGTGTCCGCTCCCCGAAGCTTTCCACTCCAGTGGCCGTTCCTGTGTGCTCTGCCTCGGTCGACTGTGTTCAGCTGGCACCGGGCGGGCCTCGGACATCGGTGCGGGCAGATGGGAACCAGCCAGCAGCGGGTCTCCGGCTATTTCCTGTTCCTCTTTATTTGTCCTTTGTTCCGTAACTCTCTCAGTTTTACTCTCACTCAACAACCGCCTCCTCTTTACTCTAGTTGTGTCACTGTGCAGGTTTTTTTCCTCCCTCGCCAATCCATCTATCTCTGGCTGGCATCATCCTCACGCGCTGCTCCCGGTGTGGAGTGGCGCGCGGTGGGCGGGCGGGCTCGAGAGCTGGCCACTTGACGGTCCGGTCCCTCCCATGTTGGCATGACCCCCAGTACGTGCGCACACACACACACACACACACGCTGATTTAAATAGTCAGAAGTAATGCTACCTGATTTCAAATGAATGCAACTACCTTTCTGATAATTCATGATCGCAACAGTTTGTTGCAGTTCTCCACACATATGTTGTTTACATGGGAAGAAGACAAAGATTGAAGAGGACTTTTAAAGGCCAAAAATGCATTAACAGTTTTATCTCACCACAGGAATCTTCTTTGAAACTGAGCCCAGAAACCAATTATCTTCATGCAGTTTCTTATCATTTCAGTTTTTTTTTTATTCAAACTCAGGATAAACCAAATATATCCAGAATTAGAGTAAACCTAATCCAACCTAACGTGTAAAAGATTATATTGATAAGTGACTATGTTGTGCTTGCCACCCAGCATTCAACATAGCTTTTGAAGAGCTTGGGCAAGCCGCAACCTTAAAAATTAAGCATATTTCCC